GGCCAAGTTAGGCGAATGAGGAGTTTCAAAGTAAAGACTAAAATAGTTAAGAATTCATTTGATGAAATAGGAGATAACGGAAGGCGTGACAAGGATAAATATTGAAGCCATGTGAAAATGGGTATATAATTGGGAAAAGGTATCATGACTGGCGAGAGTTGGGCCTATAATGATCCCTAAGATAACATATGGGCTGAGATGACATAAAAAAGGTTATGTACTTAAACCTAAGATGTTGTGGAACTGATATAGTGAAACAAAGAAGAGCTTTCAAGCTTGATGTGTGAGGAAGCAAAATAGTGTTTAGTTTCTTCTAAAAACCACAAGGTTTTAAAATTTTACCATGTGGGATATTGAAATACTAGACATATGAATAAAACATGCATTAATTTAATAGAAAATGTGCACACATTTATAATAAAACTTTAAAAGGCAACTCTAAATTGTCAAGGTTGAATGAGGATCATACGGTGTAACATCCCGTGCTCCAGATGAAGTCACAAATGTTAATTCATTCCATCCAGGGATAAATTCATATTCAATTTAAAATAAGAATGCAATAAATTAAATTCTCATATATGTTTAATCCTTTGCAATAATAACATATATCCATATGATCAACTAGTTACGTGAGGCGTTATCTAATTCGAAAATAAGATGATAGTTATCAAGTCTAAAAGTTAAGCCAACCTTTTTAAAAATAACATAAACTCCTTTACAAGTTAAGAAATGCTTCATTGTTTCATGTTGATTCTGGTTCTACTCTCGATTTTTCTTATTTAAAAAAATAAAAAAGAATGAGCTACATATGCTCAGCAAAAAATAAATAGTCACCTAACTACTGAACTAGAGATAGCGTTTGGGCATGATTCTTTCATTTATTTAGTCGTTATTTAGTTTATTGCTATTATTTTTAGAAACTAAATTCTAATATTTCTTTATTTCCCATAAGTTAAAGAAATGTACGTAAGTGTAATATTATGTTTTACTTCTCAATTTTAATCCTCGAGTCTAAATGTATATCTATTCTATATTCAATTTAATTTACAATATTTACACACTTTATTTACTTATCAGTGGTTTTAGTTTTTTACAACAACAATATTTTTAACAGTTTGATTTGCTTCTACAATTCACGTAAATAGGACAGTTCATATTTTGTTAGTACACAGTAATAGTACCGTTCATTTTTACAGTTTTACACTGATACTACAATACATGTTTTTACATGTAGACATTGATATTTTATCGTACAATATCATTTTAATCATTATCAAAAAGAGCAATAGGGATCCTCGTTATCAACGTAGATATAGTAATAATCAAACGGTACAATACAGTACGATTGTTTTTTATGTCCACAAGATGGGAATCACTAATCGACTAAATTTCGGCCACACACATACGTACTCTTATATGGATATAGTTCAAGTGATTGTTCCGTTCATGAGATAGGGTCACAAATCCATCAAAATATGGTCGCACAAGCACACACCCCTTAATAAACACAATAACAATAACAGTACAG